GCGGCGGCAACCATCCTGGTCGATCATGATGGTTGTTATGTGTGTTGGGTCGCACAAGACTACGAGTGGTAGAGGATGGGAGGACCGTGACCTGAGTGGCTATGTGTGTTGGCGACTAGTGCTGTTTATATGAGCATAACATCAGGAAGTCCGTGGTCTAATCAGTGCGCGGTGTTAAAAAAGAAACAACGTGTTTAGTGGCAATCTCAACAGAGTCTTCCCTCTAGCAGCAGCGATTGTCACCTACAACACGTTTCACTTTCTTGATACTGGAGGTGAGAAGCTTTTCTGAAACCCGGTCCAATGCTTTGATAGATCTATGCGGTCATCTGGGATCAGAATCCATCTTATGCATGGTTTACCTCAGAGACCCTAAGCCATCATACCAAGAGAACAATTTGAGTTTCACGGATAATCGCAGCCGATTTGTTTAACGTGCCATGCAACTGCATGACGTGGCCATCCTGCACCAGCCCGACAACTTGGCAAGCTGCCAATATATCGCCATTGACGATCAACATAGACGTGGTTTCTGTAACGCCAATCCACATGTCTACAAAACAGCATCTGGCTGTCCGGGCCTCCCAACAAATGAGCGGAACGGATCGCTGCGTTGTGAACGCATTTCATAACATCAAGCTAAACAAGCATGTTTTTAGACCCGAAAAAACACTTTAGGGTACTACCAGTACGAAACCTTAACGGCAGAGGTAAATGCAACAAGCCCAAACTGACATCGAGAGATTCGCAACGCTTCCCAGCGGAGTCGTAACAGATCCCCGCGCCGATCACAACGCACACCGATGCCCAGCGCAACGCGATCCCAATCACTGTCGTAACCCGTCTGCTGTGACGGGCGCAGCGCATCGCCCGCGACGATAATAACTCCTCCTCTCGCCAACACCAACACATCGCCGCGGTGGTCTTACGCCTTCGCTGAGGTGGTCGTGACGCCACACTCACGGCTCGTAACGCGCGTGACGCGCACGTCACCGGCCGGAAAACGACGGCCCCGGCGGCGGCGCGGCGTGACGGGCGCGACGTTCGAGGTGTGGTGTCCGGCTCCCCGAGTGGGCTGCCGTTCCGCATGCGACAGCCGGTCGGGTGGGGTGGACTCGGGTCGATGTCGGCAATATTGGAGCGCGCTCCCGCAGGGCTGCCCCCCGAGCCGGGCGTATGCCGCGTGCTGCCCGGCCGATGAATGCCGGCGAATGTCGGCACGTTGTTTACGTGATTATAGCAGGCTCCCTATCGCCAGTAAGGGATGCTTGATATTACATTCACCACACCTCGGAAAGGAAGTGTTTTGAGCTTGCAATCGCGCATGCAAGTGAAGTACATCCTTTCAATCGCATAGCAAGACTGTTTTGTAATCGAGTTGGTAACATTTCAGTACTTTGTTGAAATGCCCATCCTGTAATTACAGCATACTCTAATCGGGTGTGTTATCTTATCTAGGCTTAATTGAGATGCACATAAAAGGGGTGGACACGGCAAACGCTTGTTTTGGACCAGCAGGGAATAGAATTACCCATGTATGGGTAATGCGTTGGATACTCACTGACACTGAAATGTCGCCATTTCACAATGGTCCGGCGTTGAAGATCTGAGCGAGATTATCTACAACAGCAGCGCACGATGCATACAGAAGCAGATCAACTTTATAAATGATAGTTAGTTGCATTTGTGGTCTTTGTGTGAACATGTGCGAACCGGACGTAACACAGACCTAGTGCAGGCACAAAATAAGAATGTCAAGGAGATCGGGCGGGCTGGAACGCAGACAGGCAAGCTGACAGCAGCCAGCCAGCCAGCAGATAGTCAGCCAGCAGACAGCCAGTCGGCAGACAGTCAGTCAGCACGCAGTCATTCAGCAGGCAGCCAGTAAGCACACAGCCAGTCAGCAGAAAGACAGTCAGCAGACATACAGTCAGCAGACCGCCAGACTGACAGCGGACAGCCACTCAGCAGTGTTTCTCTCCGGATTTGGTTCACTTTTCAAAGTTGAGGGGCTGGAGCCCAAGTCAAAGGCCAGGAGCCTCCTCAACTGAATAGAAACTACCCCACTGCTGACAGCGGAGACAAAGTTGGTTTGCTGACGGTAGCCTACCCCACGCCTCCACTCGTGTGTTTTAAATTAGATGTTGATGTCATAGCGTGAGCAGAAGTAACAGTTCTGCACTGACTAACCAGTCACCATATTTATTGGGTTCACTCTACACAACTTTTATTTCCTACGGTTCATAAATATCTTGTATTTCCCACCGTGTTTTACTACCAACGGCCTTTCCTAAGGTACGTAATGTTGACGACGCCATGTAACGCAGTCATTTACGTGAACTCTCTCTCTCCCTCTTTCGTCTCTCCCTCTCTCTCTCTCTCTCTCTCTCTCTCTCTCTCCTCTCTCTCTCTCTCTCTCTCTCTCTCTCTCTCTCTCTCTCTCTCTCTCTCTCTCTCTCTCTCTCTCTCCTCTCTCTCTCTCTCTCTCTCTCTCTCTCTCTCTCTCTCTCTCTCTCTCTCTCTCTCTCTCTCTCTCTCTCTCTCTCTCTCTCTCTCTCTCTCTCTCTCTCTCTCTCTCTCTCTCTCTCTCTCTCTCTCTCTCTCTCTCTCTCTCTCTCTCTCTCTCTCTCTCTCTCTCTCTCTCTCTCTCTCTCTCTCTCTCTCTCTCTCTCTCTCTCTCTCTCTCTCTCTCTCTCTCTCTCTCTCTCTCTCTCTCTCTCTCTCTCTCTCTCTCTCTCTCTCTCTCTCTCTCTCTCTCTCTCTCTCTCTCTCTCTCTCTCTCTCTCTCTCTCTCTCTCTCTCTCTCTCTCTCTCTCTCTCTCTCTATCTCTCTCTCTCTCTCTCTCTCTCTCTCTCTCTCTCTCTCTCTCTCTCTCTCTCTCCCTCTTTCGCGGTTGTTCGCCTTTCCCTATCACCTGTGCGCTTCGCTTCTTTCGTTAGACGTAATCCGCTGGGAATCACAACGAACAGAAGATCATCCATGATGAAGACAGTGAGCGCATCATTATCCGATGTACTACACGATAGCTGATGCGCGGCGCAGTGTTACCAGCTATTCAGCTATTCAGGTATGCCAACATTCCAACACATACATCAAAGCATGCGCGGGCTGCGTTGGTCGGCCGGTATCCGTGAAGCAAAATAGACCACCTATGTACATCGTGGCGAATCGATCGTTTAAGTCGGGTTGCGTCGGGTCTTGCGCTCTGCGAACAGCACTACTTTGTTCGTTTTGTGGAGCGCATCCGTTCAAGGAGCCACACACAGGGATATTCATTTAGACAAAGCAGCAGAAGTAGTGGTCGCGAATGACGAGGTCGGTTCGGGCTTACAGGTGAACAATAAACCAATGAGTTCAAACGCTGTGCTATGGTACAGCGCGTGATCATGTCTGAGTACCAGCAAAATCATGTTGTTGCATTGCTTACTGTGTTCGTGAATAAAAATGACGTACCCTGTAGAAACCTGGGAAGTGAAACAAGCATAAAATGAAAGGTGTGCAAACACCGCGGGAAATAAAATGCGCTTCAAGTTAAGTCAATAAACATGATTACTCAATGCAAGACTTTTGGACATGCTTTCACAACTATTGTCAACATCTGATATAAAATCTTGTTCCGCGTGCCTGGTCAGGCGAGCGAGATAACACTGCAGGTTACTGCCAGTCAAACCCAACCTGACCCTGCTGCCACGCCGCACCTCAGGGCGCCCGAGTCGGGTTCATGTCAGCAGCGTGTCCCGGTGAGCGGGATCAATACTCACACTTCAGTGAGCTGCAGCAGGCCCTCCAGCGCGTCCGGCGCCAGCGCCTGCACATCATTCCAGGCGAGCGAGCTGGTGACACAGCCGGGGCACGCATCGTCAGCGCCGTTTCGGTGGACGAGAGACCCCGACACAGCCGGGACACGCGTCATCCGCGCCATCTCCGCGGACGAGAGCCCACGACAGAGCCGGAAGATACGGACGTCAGTGTCCACACGAGACATCGGCGTCACCTCACGAGACACGGGCGTCACCTCTCAAAACACGGGCGTCACCTCACGAGATATCGGCGTCACCTCACGAGACACGGGTGGCGTCACCTCACAAGCTATCGGCATCACCTCACAAAACACAGGCGTCGGTGTCTTCACGAGACACCGAAAAAACCTCATGAGACACCGGCGTCACCTCACGAGACACCGGCGTTACCTCACAAGACACGGGCGGCGTCACTTTACAAGACACCGGCGTCACCTCACAAAACACAGGCGTCACACCACAAGATACAGGCGTCACCTCACAAGACACCGGCGTCACCTCACAAAACACAGGCGTCACACCACAAAACACAGGCGTCACCTCACAAGAAACAGGCGTCACCTAAAGAGACACAGGCGTCACCTCAAGAGACACCGGCGTCACCTCACGAGACACCGGCGTCACCTCAAGAGACACCGGCGTCACCTTCAAGAGGCACCCGGCGTGCACGCCTCAAGAGACACCGGGTCATCTCAAGAGAAACCAGTGTCACATCAGAGGACATACCGGCGTCACCTCAAGAGACACCGGCGTCACCTCAAGAGACACAGGCGTCACCTCAAAAGACACAGGCGTCACCTCAAGAGACACAGGCGTCACCTCAAGAGACACCGGCGTCACCTGACAAAACACCAGAGTCACCTCAAGAGACACCGGCGTCACCTCAAGAGACACAGGCGTCACCTCAAGAGACACAGGCGTCACCTCAAGAGACACCGGCGTCACCTCAGGAGACACCGGCGTCACCTCAAGGAGACACAGGCGTCACCTCACGGCAAAGTCAGGAGGCGCGACGTCAGAGTCCACTCAGCGAATGTGAGCTAACAACACAGCCGGCAGACACGTTCATCAGAGCCCTACACAGCCGACAGACGCGGCGTCGTGGATCAATTTCAGGGCGCGAACTCGTGACTCCACGCTGCTGGAATCGTGGGGCCGTGAGTCTGGGACTTTGCTTTCATTGCCCCGCACCCTGCGGGAGGCGAACTCCGTGCCGCTCAGAACACGAAAGTTGGCTCAGCTACGTTTGGTCCTAATGAGGCGGACCATGAGCGTCCCCATATCGCTTCAGGAGCGATATCGTCCATCGCGACGAGGCTGTCAAATTGGAAGCACGGAGTCCTCACGTGACACAAAGCACAGCATTACCGTCTTCATTCGTCACGTGATGGTCCTGAGCTAACACCGCAGCGGTCTTAGAAGTCACACAGAGATCGGGTGCGGGCTAATAACAACTAACGAGCTATGGCTGACGCCGGAACAAGGCTTAGTTCATTGCTTTCTGGAGAGCACAACTGCGCGATAAATCCCAACAACTGGGATTCTTTGCACGATGAAGGGAACGTGCCGGGCGAAGCGAGCCGGCTGGAGAAAAAGCGGGCTGCAGTAAGCTGGACCCTATCATGGCATAGCTCGTTACTGTATAGCCTTGATCAGCGTGCCCCGAATTGCATCCATATTTGCAGGGTTCATTTCGGGGAACACAACCAGTCCCTGAACCCAAATTTAGAACACAAATTCCTCGCTCGCAACGGATGTCAGATAAAGGGGATCGGGGCACAGTGACCCGGGGGATTCGAACGCAACCGGTTGGAATCCTACGCAGGGCCTCATTTTTTTCTTGGCAGAGAAGATAAAACTTCACCACTGCCCGCCTGGCCGCGTTACGACATTGCGTGGCCCATTAAGATCCCCAGTGCTGCTTGACTAACAGGCCTCCGTCCATAGTTCGCTTTGGTGGCGGAGCCAGTGGCTATGTAACAAGTTATGCTTGGCGAGGGCCCTGACTAAAACGTCGCTCGGGCAAACAACGCTACAAAATTTAAAAGAATTGAATCAAATGATGCGAGCAAGACATCTTTAAAAATTTGATAGAGAGCTTTTTGCTCGTCAGATTGGCGAACGTTTTGTCCGTAACTAGCAAATCTATCGTCGTTCTGCGGCTCAATATACATCCTGCCCTTCCTCTAAATAAAACCATTTGTGAATTACACCCATCATAAACCCCTTGTGAGAGACACCGCATCGTGCACATGCCTTTGGCGCTGGACACATAGTTGGCGCGCAGATGCAAGTTGAAACAAAACCGAGCCGCTTGTTTCAACAGCTGAATCCTCTTGGGACGTCTCTGCACAAGTTGTGTGGGACAGGTATGTGGATATGCGAGGCACGCTGCATACTCACAGTGACTGAAGAGGCAGTCTCTTGAATACGCGTCCTGGGACCTTTTCAATTCTGTTATGACTGAGATCACTGGAACAAGGAGACAGCAGATGTAAAGCAACGTGTACCCAGCGGCAATGTGTGCCACGTCCTGTCACTGCGTCCTGCCACTTGGCTGTGGTCGCATTGGAAGATCAATACGGATCCATATTACAGCGCGCGCTATCACCATTTCCGATCCTTTTCAAGCACGAGTCACGATACATGCATCGGTCAGGTAAACTGCCACTGCTATCTGACCGGGTTTTCGTTGTCATTAGTTTCCTTTAGGAGCGAGATCGCAGTCACTTAGTACGCCGCCGACCGAGTCAGAACGAGTCTCCGTGGTCTTGTCGCCGTGCTCTCGCCAAGTTCATCTGAGCAAAGTGAGACGTTCACGTCGCAAACTACTCACAGCTTTTGGAGAGACGGAAAAGTTTTGTACAAGTCGGATGGAATTCCCTGGAAGTTGTTGTTGCTCAAGTCCCTGGAAAAGACACAGGTATTGTTGAAAGGCTCGTTCCATTAGCCTGCATGAGGCACACAATGTACATGCTGCGCATTGCCTATGCATGCACAGTCGTAGACGGATGGCCAACGTATTCCTGGCACGAACGAGTATTGACTGCACTTCATTATTCACTACGCGCCGCCGATTGACGCGGTAATCACAGGAGGTGCAGGGGAGGGCGAGGGGAGGGGACACGGAAGGTAGCGCCGATGTCAAACAGCTGATCTCTCCAGTGCGCTGGGTAGTGAGATGGGGCAATGTTGGCACAATAACGGAACCAGCGAGGCGGCGATATTGTGAGTTGTCTTAAAGTGCTTCGGTCTTGGAAATCATGTATCGCACTCTTTGTTGTAACCACCCACCACAAAAAGACCGAGGATGTCACAGAAGCATCTGCTCCGTCACATGTTCTAACCCCTGACAATGAACAGTTTGTGTACTATTTGTGGACGCCGCCGGTTTTTCCGCTCTATTCATTGATTTTCCTCGGCGACAAACACCTGTTTTAGTGCTCAGCTGCTTACCGCCCCTCCTCCTCCCACTGTCCCATCACTCCGGGCCATCAATGCCTGGAGGCCACACCGCCCGCCGTACCGCTCGCTCATTGCCAGCGCCATCCGTTCGGCCGGCGCGCCGCCGGCGGCTCCTGTCGCTGTCACGTGCGATCCCCGATAACGCCAGTCAGCGGCGACGGCCGCGGGCCGGGTGTCGGGGCCCCGCCTGAGGACAACGCTCGGTGGAGCGGCCCGACAGCAGCCATCCGTCAGCGGCACCACAGGCCGTGACGTCACCGACCGACGACGGCCTGACGTTTGAGGCTGAGGCGAAACATGATGGAGCCGGGGAGATCCGTGGGTCAATAGGCAAGCGTTCCGCCGAGCGTTTCCATTGGCTTACTTGTCTTGGAGGATTGCTCGCCGGCGTTCGGGACAGGCATTTGCAGGGGCTGAGGGTATCCGTGCAAACAAGACAAGATCACATGTGTTCATTTTGGTCGAATGTTGTTG